GGTATCAGTCCGGACTAGTGCAAGCAGCCACACAAACACGTGCATGCACGTCGCTATCTAGATGCAATAATCTTGAACGTGACGTTAAACACATTTCACCTCACCCACTGACATCACATTGGAGTTTTGTTAACGGGAACCAGTCCCATCTCCAGCATGTCGTTAAAATAAGTTGAAGAAACATTGATAATGTTTGTACCTGTAAACTGTCTCATCAAGCTCGTTATAACGCTGGTGTATAATCCTACGTGCATGCAACAACGCGTTGGCCGTTGGATCACACGCTCATGTAACGGTGAATGTGATAGAATTACTTGGAAACCTCATATTGAATATATACGCGACATTTATGGATTTGGTTATGTGTGGCACGAATAATATTGGTGGTGCTAATTGTTTCTTACAGCTGTTTCGACAGCGTTTGTTGGATTGTAACAAACAGTATCCCGATGAAAATGTATGAGTCTTGTAAATTAAGGTATTATTCACACGTTAAAACATTATTGGATATGGAATATTATGTTACAGCTTTCAGAAATAGAAACCATAGAGGTATGCCTAGACTAACATTTAGTCAATGAAATCTTATATTACACAATATCCTTCTTGACTCTAAAATAAAAAAAATCCCTATGCTGATTTAACTAGCTGGCTAGACTTGCTTTTGTATGAATTTCTAGAATTGTTTTCATAAAATATATATATTCCACAGTCATGGTGCAGGACTAGCGTGTGACGTGCCTGTTGAGATTGTCTATACGGGGTGTATGGGCAGAAGAGAGGATATTGTTAACTCACAACGCTTTTGTCGGATATGTAACAATGGTTCTATTGAGGACGAAGTCCATTTTGTGTTTATCTACCTGTTTTACGCACCATTAAGACAAACGTATATTCCTGTCAGATTTTCACAACCCACGTGTTACCTTTAGCTATCTCTTAAATAGCCAAACTGACTGTGTACTCATAAATATAGCTTAGGTTGTGAAGGAAGCCCTATTTCTACATCCAAAGACCCAATATTACACACAGGTTTTGTTTTCCATGTACATTGCCTCAATTGTGTTAATATGCCGTCCTATGAATCAGGTAGACATAATAAGGAACCTAGAGAAGAAAGAGTTTGTACTGTTCGTAAACATGGTTATATCGAAGATGAGTATCACTTTATTTTAATTTGTGATTGTTATCAAGTTTTGAGGTCAGAATATATATCCTTGAATTATTATGAGTTCCCGACAAGACATAAGTACAATATTGTAATGTCATCCAACAACCCATTTACTGTTAAGAAACTAGCCATGTATATTCTGAAAGCTATGAATCTAAGGCAAAGTCTGTTGGGATCTCCAACTCCCATCACCACACTGTAACCATTGTATCATGGGCCTATGGCCTACACTACATCTGAATAAAGTGTATATACATGAATACAAACATCAACTTTAATAAATTATCTGAACATAATTTGCAACGGGCCGCTCGATAGGAAGTGACATCTACTTACTTACTTACTTACTTACTTACTTACTTACTTACTTACTTACTTACTTACTTACTTACTTACTTACTTACTTACTTACTTACTTACTTACTTACTTACTTACTTACTTACTTACTTACTTACTTACTTACTTACTTACTTACTTACTTACTTACTTACTTACTTACTTACTTACTTACTTACTTACTTACTTACTTACGAGATTTAACGTGCGCTTTCCGACTGATGCGTATTTCGCACACGGGTCCGGCCAGGCCATTTAATGTGTTTCCGAAAGCGGCGAAAGTGGTCTGTGCAACCCAAGAGGGGGGTTTAGGGGCTGCTTAAATAGAATTTGGGAATTTTGAGATTTGGAATAGATGCCGATGGGGTTGGGGAGGAGGACAACATCGCAGGAAGGTGAGGTTATATACTAGTTGGCTTCTGTATACAGACAGGTTGACATTTACAAAGGGAACACTAAATGTCAGGTCAGTACTTAGTGGTAATGGCTGCGTTGGTGCCCGGAGCAACTTGCCGTTAACCCTGGCTAAGAATGAGGCCTCTTTTCGACCGTCAGTTTCGTAGCTTTAACAATCCACAGGACATGTTGTTGTTGCTTTAAGTGTTTAAGAGGTCGCCTTCTGACTTAGCAAGTGCGGCTGACCTGTCCCTCTTTGGGACTCGTGTGTGTGAGTAGGGTAGACGTATCTATTGTGAGTTTGTTATTCACATAATTTCTGTTTTTGTATTCATATGATTTCTATTTTCGTGTATTGATATCATTTCATTTTTATCCTTGGCTGCTTTGTCTATATAGTTCGAGTAGCTGTCAGCACAGCTAATTTCGTCCCTTTTGTCTCTGGATCAATGCTTATATAACCAAGGTCATCTGACTCAGATTAAGTCACATATATAAACAATATTAATTAATGAAAAGTGACGTTGTTTAACAGCTCGTTCACAGTGGCTGGCAGTAAATTACACTACAATGGTGGGATTAAACAAGGGGGGTTAGTATTATGTAAGTAATGGCCATTAAGTGGTGCTAGACGTATGTCATGGCTGCATGGTAATTAGCCTTCGGAATAAAATGTTCATTCAAACAATGACTGTCCTGCGTCGGTCCATTTGACACATATTTGAAGTTAACAAGTCATGCTTGAAGTAACAGCAAGCGTCGAAACATCAGATTCTTCGGTTTAACCAGCTCGAGATAAAGGGAAATTAATCGGTAAGAAATTAGCATGTGTTTTACTATCATATCATATTTTTAAAATTGATAAATTATACAAAATTGTAATTATTACAAAGTTACCTCCTTAACACTGTCTGAATATTTTTTTACAATTAAGTGATTTAAGCAAGAGAGAAAAAAAAATACTATTCGACATTTTTCACAAAGGTAAATGATATTACACTCCATCCAAGTGTTTTTATCCATGTTTGTTTACAGTGCTTATGCTCTGGTTATGACTTTTTAAATATATTTGTAAGTAACCCTACGCATCACATACCAGCCAAGTCCAGAATACATAACTTAGAAAACAAAAGGCCCTCGTGGTACCGTGATGACGTCACACTACCACCGCCAGTAAACTGTATGGAAGTCACCATGTGCTATTTATAGGTATAAGAGCCATCAATTAAGGCTTGATATACGCCTTCATCCTCTAGTGTTTCTAACATATGGTTAGTGTGGACGGTTGTTGTGATGTGAGTGACTGCGGTCAGGCGTACTGGTCAATCCTGCTCCGACTTCACGGCCAACGGTCAACCTTATTGTGTACGTGTTGACCAGCATACATAAATAAGCCATCCTTTGTCCCGAAAGGGACTATACCGTGTAAGTAGTCGGTTATCTTTTTTGTTGGTTGTTCCATCTGATGTTGATTATGCGGGTGATATGTGACGTGAATGTTTATACTCTGTCTGTACGTGAGTAGATTGTGTAATATGACGTCGGCCCATCATCTTATTATCAATGGCTGGGTGGAGGCCAGGAATTTCGGTCGAGAGAAGGTATTTTTTAAAACTTCTTTAACACTTTTTGTCACCGACGAGGAATGATAGAACACATATCTGGGACACACATACATTCGCTGTCCTTGTCTACATGTGTACAGACATTAACGTTTCGGAGCAAGATGTTTTTGGGTGGAAAATAATATAGGAGTTGTGATCATTACGATACTCATTCGTTGTTCATATGTCGGAAACCGTTATTTGTGGTTAATGGGTGAGATTAGAGAGCGTGTCTTTGGACGTGCGGGTATCATTGAGAATATTGCATCCCGTGAATTATATTTTAACTCGGCATTTGGCAGGCGTTCAAATGTTAATACTCCCGGATACGTCGCCCAAAAAACATATGTACCGTTATGTGCTGCCATCACAACGAACCACAAGCACATGATGCAGAGGCAAATCCTCTACAGTGGAGTTTTTTGTTATTTTTTAATCATTGATTTATAAATACAAAGAGCATGTCGACTACAGAGTACCACGTTATTTTAACTTTGCGATTGAGAAAGTATTTGTATTCCCAGATAAGTCCGAAGCTTCAATTGACCAAGTTTATCAACCAGTCGTGCCTCACTTTTAGTAGTCAGCATTTATAAAGTACCCAGCTGCCAACAATTAAACGTCCCTTTCATATATATTTATTTTTCCATACCAAGACGGTTTCAGATACAGGACGTGTTTCTCTGTGATGGAACAGTTTCGTGATGTTATTTATGTGCTCTCTTCCTGTTCCTGAGACAGCCCTAACAAATATCCATGTACCGTTAGCAATAAACAGGGGAAGGATATGACACGAGATGACATCTCGTCTGTGCCCGGAGAATGACCACAACAGTAGAAATGTTCAGATGCGCCAGCGGCAGAGGTCACTCTTATTTTGGTAATAACATGATAAAAGGCGGCAAAGACAAATTAATATTGAAACTACACTCACGATTCACGTTATAGCCACTGATATAGTCGGAATCGTAATGGACTCTGTTTTTAGGAGAGATTTCTTATATAGTCACCACCAAAAGAAACGCGAAGACCATACACGTTGGTTAAGATATGAAGACTTACTCACATTCGAGGGATATTGGACTGGTTCGATGCACAAACGAGCATACTGGTATGTTGTGTGAACCGATGCTCATGAACGCATCTCATGTGACGTCATAGATCCATGACTCGCGATACCATTTGTCTCGTGCAGGATTAGAGTGTAAAGTTTGGAAATCACGTGTAGCATATCGTGATAAGAATAAAGACACTCTGTGGTAACACTTGACTGATTGTTAGTTTTGTCTTTAAGTGGTACACATTGGAAACATCTCTTCTTGACGTACATACTTCTCGATATGTTTCTATGGTTTGCGTTTCTTTTGGCGGTGAGTATAGTTATTGAAATGGGTTTGTCGCCTTTTATTTAATGTAGCAGTGGTCACACCATGTTTCCGTGGGTATCTTCCAACTTCGTAATGAAATTAATTGATTTCATTTTCCCTTCCAGATTTTGACCCTCGACAGCATCTCGTCATGTTCCTCAACACGTCAATCACGATGAACAACACATCCGTTGACGTCAACGTGACGTCCTACCTCGATATGGACATTACCCACGTGATGACCGTCTACGTCTATCGAATTATCTACGTGGTCGGTGTCATCGGCAACACGTTCACAGCAGTGGTATGGGTGCGCTCCCGACTGAAGGTGTCACCCGTATGCTATTTCATCGCCCTGAGTTTAGTGGACAACTTGGTCATCTTGACCCACGCGCTCGAGACCCAACATTCGGTCAACATCCAGGGTCTGTGTCAACTCGTCCATATTGTGTTCCTCGCTGTGCAGATTCTAGCTATTCTCCTCGTACTGGGAATGTCGATTGAGCGTTATATCGAAATTTGCCACCCCATGCTCGGAGGGAAGATCCTCACTATAACGCGGACGAAGAGAGTGATCGTACTACTTGCAGCGGTGTCCTTGCTACTCAGCACATTGGAAGGCTACACGTGGGCCCTGGACCCTGTATCAGACACGTGTGACTTACGAACTCACCTCCCATCCAGCTATCTGTGGATTTATGGATTCAGTGTCATCATATTGTTCTTTGTGACCCCACTTCTGTGTGTGATTATATTAAATGTTCTTGTGATAGCCGTCCTCAGCAAGGCTAGACGACACAGTTCAGCCTACGGACGATCCATGATGAAACCGGCAAAAGCCAGTTTTAATACGCCATTCCTGGTTGTCTCCCTTTACCTCGCAATAAGTGAACTTGTGTATGCTCTCGTTCATCTCTCGTATTATCTCGGACCATCGGACAGGTCGACGTGGCTTCACAGTAGCCCTCTGACTGGAAGATGGCGCAGCTACGATATTAAATCAATACCACTTTTGTTTGCCGATGCTGCTGCTCTGTCGAGTTACGCCCTGGATCTGACTGTCTTTACTCTAAGCAGCAAAACATTCCGAAAGGAAGCTGTTGGCCTGATTCCCTGTAGGAAACGCAAAAACCAAGTTTTTCTAAGCAGGAACTTATTACGAAGGAGTAATGCATGAACTATTTGCCGATCAAGGGAAGGGTGCGATATGCCAATGGCATGTTGAAAGAAGTATCCTCACTGGAACTGGGACAAGTCTCGGTGTCTTGTAGTCCAAGAAGGTTGAATTGAACAAACGAAACATTTTGTGTATAAACTCAAATTGTATGATATGTACCAGTGTATGAGCGAGCGAGTGGGTAGATGGGTGATTGAGTAAGCGAGTGAGCCTTAAGCGAGTGCCTGGGTAGGTGGTTGATTGTGAGTGAGTGAGTGAGTGAGCATTGAATTTTTTTACATTATTTTACTTATGTTACGTTCTATTTTAGTGTCGATACTGTCATCGACAGTACAAATCGTGATGGCAGCTGGCAAATTATTTATATAGATAAAATCATGAATTCCAGGAAACCTTTATGAGAAAGCACTGCGTTAAATCAAAAACACATTATTTTCTGAGTAATTGTTGTGATATTTCGATAGACACAGTTGACAATGTTATTAATTATGCTTCGTTGATAATACTGATAGCATTAGAGTATTGCCTTGTTTGATACCAATCATAGATCACTTCTGAAACCATATTGCATAATGTTGCCAATATTAAGACGTGAACGTGTCACTCGGTTGTAACAAGCAGATTACGCGTTCTCTTCATCTTATGTATTGGATTACACGTGAAGGAAACATCTCGAAGAGGTACGCATAGTTGTAGAATAATCCCGATTAAAGTATCAATTGAAAACTAAAAAATGTATGATAAATTTGCCATGTGCAAAATTAGTCGATGAGAAACAAATGTATAAAAAACAGTAACGATACACAATATAATTCATACTGTAGCGATACGTATAGTTTCATAAAGGTTCAATTATCTATATCTATATATCATCTGATCTTCAATCTAGCATCGACATGTTAATATTAAACGCGAACTACTGGAACAGGATTTGTCTGACATAGACACAGGCTTGAGGGACATCGTTTTGTGATAATTCCGTCCATGTTTCTCCTGAAAGCGTAAATCTGTTTCCTTAGTGTTTTGTAGTTTAGTTGTGAGTAGCGTTGTGTGTTTGAGTGAGTGAGTGAATGTTGCAACCCTAAATCACTCGTTGTGTTCAAATCCATGTATTATAGAATGAAATCTGTTTCCGCTGGAGATCTAGACGGCTTTTTCTCTTGCACTGACAATTTATGTTCACACGTAGTTCCGAAGAACATACGTCTGAGACCTGTATATTTCCAATATCATCCAAGTTATGTTAGTACAACGAAGGTGATAATTAATGCTTGCTATGTTTCGATAATCTCTGTTCCAGTGTAGTGTTTGGAAACATTCTTCTGTGGGTAACATAACAGTACCAAATGTCCTGCGGTGTAACAGCGGGAAAGTGAGTGAGTGAGTTGGGTTTAACGCCGCTTTTAACAGTAATCCAGTTATATCACGGCGCGTCAGCTTAATGTGGGAGGAAAGTCCGAAATGATGCAGGTCTCAGACGTTTACCACTTCGGTGAAACCCACGGGTATGGTGCTGACAAACCTAGAAACATAATCAGGGAGAACTGGTATTGAACCTACAATTATAGGTTTCTGGCGTGCCCAAGGGACACAACTCTGCACTGCGAATTCCGGCGCCTTTTTCATATATTTCATGTCATGGTTATCGTGAAAAAACGGGGGTTCTTCTTTTGAATTGTATTCATTCGAGTAAACATTAGCTGACATTCATGATGGTTGATTATCAACGTCAAATAAATATCGGCTCCACATTTATCATCAGTGTACAAGTTATATTATCGCCGATTGTAGGTGATTGTATCACAGGAGCAAAAGCTGTATTATGCATGAACTCTTTCCTACTTGTATTACGTGTATTCACAATGTACGTGTTGTCAGTTTTAACAATGAACACCCTGCATTTATTATGTCATTAACGTAACTATGCAATTGAATGTTATTGGATATGTACATGTTCAGTATAAGTAAACACCCTTTGAAAGTATGCCAATCCATGTTCTCTGAGTGAGTGAGCGAGTATGGTTTTACGCCGCTTTTAGCAATATTCCAGCAATATCACGGCATGTCAGCTTAATGTGAGAGGAAAGCCCGAAGTGATGCAGGTCTCAGACGTTTACCACTTCGGTGCTGACAAACCTAGAAACATAATCGGGGCGAACCGGGATTCGAGCCCACACTCTTCGTTTCTGGCGTGCCCAAGGGACGCAACTCTGCACAGCGAATCGCGGCGCCCTAAACGACTTGGCCACCCGTGACCCCGTGTTTCTCGAGCTCGAGACATGAGTCCGACAGATCACCAGTATGAGCATGAGACCCATGTTGGGAATCGAACCCAGGTCTTCGGCGTGACGAGCGAACGCTTTAACCACCAGGCTACCCGACCGCCCCTATGTTCTCTGTCACATGTGGAGAACTGTGGCTTTGAAACAGACATCTTGCTCTATACATGTACCTACGTTACAAGAATATACAAACCGCTGTATACGTTTGTTTAAGAGGAAAAGACAAAGACATTTATAACCTGTATCTGCCACGTGAAATGCAATGGAAGCTACACATGACTTGGTGCTAGAAACATGGGCAGGGACGACATACCAAGGATAACGACGTTGTTACTTCGTTACGACGTGTAACAGTTATACGCTATTAATTAATATTCATGAAATAATTAATAGTACATCTTCTATCTTAGGTTGGAGAGTAGTCAGTCATACAGACCCTGAAACAAATCTATCCAATACAGCCCATGCAAGTCTATAATATTTGGCAAGTCTAGATTACTGCAGTATCAGGTCTGAAAATGAAGAATTTCCCTGGGCTCCTTTTTATCATATTTTATAACTATAATTTAGCAACTATTTTTCTGTAAAATATGTTCACTTCAGAGACTAGATGTTAGTCTAGTTAGAGATTACTTTGAAAAAGATGAGCATACTAAAACTTTATTTATATTACTAATGTTACTTAAAACAAAGAAATGTAAAATTGAATATTATATCAAACGATAACACGGTGGATTGTGGTCCCGATGAGTTGATAAGAAAGAGTTTGACCCGTGAGAATTACTAGGGAGTGAGATAATACCGAGCTTGAGCAGTATTTAAGTTATTTCACAGCTGCCAGCTGATGGAAAACCCAAAGCTGATCTGGGACAGCAAATCTGCACGGTGGTCTGACACTGAGACTTTATGTTCATAACACAACTACAGCCTGTCACGTTCCATGACCCATGTTGCTTAACGCCGCACCCAGCAATATTCCAGCTATATGACGGCGGTCTGTAAATAATCGAGTCTGGACCAAATAATCCAGTGATTGACATCATGCGCAGCGATCCACTCAATTTGAATACGATGACATGCATCAACGAGCGAGTCTGACCACCAGATCCCGTTAGTCGCCTCTAACAACAAGCATACTCGCCTTTACGGCAAGAATGGGTTGCTGAGGACATATTTTACCCTGCATCTCTGGACCCGGGTCTGACCCGTGTTGATGTGCAGTGATTGGATTCGCTGGGACTGTTGCTTTCTTCTCACAGTCATGTCGGCGTTCAAGTAATCTGTGTTCGTGGGTTCGATTCCCAGATTCCTAACTCATCCAGCATGACGACATGGCGACACGTGACTGAGTGAGTATTGTTTGACGCCACTTTCAGCAATATTCTAGCAATATCACGGCGAGGGACACCAGAAAAGGGCTTTTCAAATTGTACCCATGTGGGGAATCGAACCGGGGCCTTCGAGGTGTCAAGCCAACGCTTTAACCACTGGGCTACCCCACCGGGTGGGTTTAGCGTCGTGTTCAAGAGAATTGAACTTGAACATTCCATTGAGCTCCGGGTAATAAGTGAGTGAGTATGGTTTTGCGCCGCTTTTGGCAATATTTTAAGCCACAATCCCGGTACGAGGAAGGGTTACGAGGAATTAGGTTATCTGGGTATTAATGTCCAATACTGCATTCTTGGCGAGTGAGTGCATGGGTGTTATAGAATACTTTAGTCAGCAACAGTCCACTAATAATCACGCGGTCTCTCACAAATCGAGCCACTAACAGTTTCCGCAAGGGCCATGATATGGTTGGACACGCCAAGTCAAGCAGCGTGACTATCCGACACGTCATAAAAAAAATTCTTCCATAACACACCCTGCCGCCACGTTTATTGTACGTGACACGTCAATGACAAAAATGTCAGCAATGTACCATTTCATGGTTTGTTTTTGCCAAATAAACAATTTTGAATTTCCCCGTGGCATGTTGGCGTCCAAATATAGAGAGGAAGTTATTTTTGCTGTCAAAGTTGCTAAACCCTTCCGGGCTAACAGCCACACTGACAGACAGCAACACATTCTACCCCTTGTTGGAACTCAAGTTTACATGTTTATTAAGAAACCAACGACAGTCTACATGTACGCTTTCAGGTATAAATGCTGGTTGGCTGAAGTGCTATTGGAAGAATGCTGTGCAGCACATGGTTGACGCATTATTATAATACAACGTAAATATTACATTTTATATATTTTAATACAGATAGAAAATTGGAGTCTGGTGCGTTTCATAAATATCATATGTTAGAAATACAATTTGTACTTTGCAGACATTGACGAGTATAACGCATATTTTGTATTCCTAATACAGTAAACTACGGTTTACTGAAACCTACGTTATCATCACACCACAAAACTAAAATAATCGTTATAGCCTTTATTCCCGTAATACAACGTCACCAGAAAGTCTATAAACTATACATTATATAATCAAATTAAAGAAATAGAAGAAAATGCACCAACAGGAAGTGACGTCAGCAGAAGAAACGTATTTCTTCTGCTGATGAAAGAAATTTTGTGGTGTGTACTAACTACTGTTATAACAAACTCAAAGGGACTACTAATTTTAGTTCGTTATAACCGTAGTTCGTTATAAGCATATATATAGCATAACTACAGCAAATAGTCGGGACCAAAAAGTAAGTTCGTTATATCCGTCAGTTCGTTATAAGTGTGTTCGTTATAACCGTAGTTTACTGTATTTATTTAAGATACGGGAAGGACAATACTCTCTTAATCATATTATGTCATTCTTTATATAACCGACGATAAAGACATATTTTCACGCAATGAAGTAGCTTTAAAAGCCGCGTGTAAATAGTGTCAGAGAGAATCGCTTCATGGATCATGATATTGGCTCATGATTTGCACCTACGTTTGTCTGCCGAAACACCCATACATAGGATCCTTTGTGTACATTCTCTGGGTACATCACGCTATACAAGCCATTAATCTTTAGGTGGTCAATATGTCCCCCGAGGTGCCGCCTCGGTCCGGTCAGACCGCCGCAGGGGTCGGGTCGGAGGGTCCTTGTTTTCGCAATATCACGGCGAGGGACACCAGAAATGGGCTTTTCAAATTGTACCCATGTGGGGAATCGAACCGGGGCCTCGATGTGTCAAGCCAACGCTTTAACCACTGGGTCACGAGAATTGGACTTGAACATTCCATTGAGCTGTACAGTTCTTGTCTCCGGGTAATAAGTGAGTGAGTATGGTTTTGCGCCGCTTTTAGCAATATTTAAAGCCACAATCCCGGTACGAGGAAAGGTTACGAGGAATTAGGTCATCTAGGTATTAATGTCCAATTCTGCATTCTTGGTGAGTGAGTGCAAGGGTGTTATAGAATACTTTAGTCAGCAATAGTCAACTGGCAAAGAGAGATCATATGTTTTGTTTTACCGAAATTTACTTTAAAATTTATGAACACTTTAAGCCGTCCTCTGTTTCATAACAGTAATGTTAACTTAGCTGCGAACCGTAAAATGTTCGTACCAGACGCCATCTTGCTGTCTAGCAGAAGAGTTATTCATCACGTGACAGGTCAATACTGATCACGTGACGAGTCAATATTCGAGGTCAGTCACATGATTTCGGGGTCTACATATTGGAATGAATTGTTTCGTCACGTGGTATGGATTAACCAATGGAATTGCAAGATTCTGAAAGCGGTATGAGAAAACAATTTATTGAGAAAGCAGACATTGTATCGATTGTATGGCTTTAAAAGTAGTTTCTGTGAGGTGACTCAATATTTATCGGTGGGGGGGGGGGGGTGGGGGGGGGGGGGGGGTGGTGCACAATTAAGATCTATTTATTGTCTTTCGTGGTAATTTATACAGGAATAAAGATTTTTTTCGAATTAAAAAAAAGGGGGGGGGGAGCACCCCCGCGCGCGCACCCCCCCCCCCCCCCCCCCCCCCCTCTGTATCCGCCCATGTATATTAATGTTTATAATTACGATACCATCTATCCTGCTTTATACGTGGCTAATCACTGGGTTATATTTGTAGATCCGTTTGGTGAACCGTGAAATGTCCTCATTTGTTTGTTGTTTAGCAATATTTCAGTATATGAGGGCCGCAAATAATTAAGTCTGGACCAGATAAACCAGTGACCGATATTTTTAGCAACGGTCCACACGGATGGGGTACGATGACGTCATGTTACCGGGACCGGCAAACGACCGGTTGCTTGGGATCAAATCTAACCCGGCATCACCCTGTGTAATGGAAGGGTCTTCTGTGAAGCTCTTTGGGAGATAAAACACTTCCCCTCGGAATTTTATGAGATTTAAAATCGTGAGCGCCCCGAGGTTTTATCCTTTTATCCTTCTGATCAGATGTTTAAATCTCATAAAACCCCGAGAGGAAATGTTTTATCTTACTTATACCCCCCCCCCCCCCCCAAAAAAAAAAAAAGTAAATAAATAAAAAAATAAAATATATGAAACATTTATCGACAATTTTATGTTTCAGACATACTTTCCATGAACCTTAGAAAGCGGACGTAAAATAGCTCACGCTTGCGTACATGTGCAGTAATTTGAAATGGGATTCTTGAGAGCAAAGGTCACCTTGCTCGATGTTGTGGGACCGCCTTCGTGGCCCTAAGAGCGAAAGGTCTGTAGTTCGACCCCTTTCGCTGCGTCTATTTTATCACAGACGTTAAAATATGGCACTTGCCTTGCGCTAGGATTTGAGGGCCCGGGGTAAGATAAGAGATCGTCTCGGAGTCGGTATACTGTGTCTGAGTGTGTTTGTTTGTTTAGTGTTTAAATCCACGCTCAGCAATATTCCAGCTATATGACAGCGGTCTGTAAATAATCGAGTCTGGACCAGGCAATCCAGTGATTGATATCATGAGCATCGATCCACGCAATTGGGATACGATGACATGCATCAACCAAGTCATCGAGCCTGCCCCCGCGATCCCGTTATCTACCCGGATCTTCACAGGTTGTCTGAGTTGGGTATCCATGTTAAACTGCAGCATGGTATCTCAGTTGGTTAGCACTATAACACCAGCATTAGTCCGGTTAAGTACAAGCACATTCAATAATCTTGAACGCGACGTTTCAAACCCATTTCACCTCACCTGGATGTGGGAGAATTCGACAAAACTACTGGTTATGCTATCAACCATTCGTCTGAATGGTGCAGGCTCGAACCTTGACAGGCTAAAGTGATCAAATCTGCTGACTTTCAGTTACATCAAGGCGTGTCGTCTCTCCCACGAGCACGGGTATGTTGCTATCAAACCAGGACGCATAAGCAAGGCGACTCTGAGAATCGAACTCATTTTCATTTGGTTAGGGCACTCCTGTAGCTGAGAGATGAAACTGCGCTGTGCGAATCGCGGCACCCCAGACGGCCTGTCCGCCCGCCCTTGCTATTCGGGCCACTGACCATCAAGAAGTTAATACGGTTCACTGACCACTGACCATCAAGAAGTTAATACGGTATAATTATCACTGACAAGAAAGAAAGGTAATAAGGTATAGTGACTACTGACCGTTACTGATGGTAATACGGTACACTGACCACTTACCACACATGAAGGTAATACGACAGTGACCACTGACCATGAAGGGAGGTAATACGGTACACTGACCACTGACCATGTAGGTAATACGACAGTGACCAGTGACCATGAAGGAAGGTAATACGGTACACTGACCACTGACTATCAAGGAAGGTAATACGGTACACCGACCACTGACTATCAAGGAAGGTAATACGGTACACTGACCATGAAGGGAGGTAATACGGTACACTGACCACTGACTATCAAGGAAGGTAATACGGTACACTGACCACTGACTATCAAGGAAGGTAATACGGTACACTGACTACTGACTACTAACCACAACCCAACTCACTCACTCACTCACCCGTCACACACAAATTAGGAAATGTCCTTGAATGACCCTGATCAAAGATCTTTTGACCAAAAGTCTTATGACTCTGTTTGAAATCTTCTTAAAGATTAACATGGATCGGATATCATTTTTTTTTTAAAAGATCGAAGTATATCACAAGCTTTTTGTATAACTGACAATGAAAAGTCAACGATGAGTGGTGTTCATTAATGGTCTTCTGAACGATATATCTGACCGTGAGAGCTCCCGCGATGTCAGTAGTAGATGGTTACCTAAAATATCGCGAAAATTCTGAATTCACGACAAGGTTAAATGATCACCCAATACGTGACGTTACAGCTGTAGAATGGTGAGGGGACAGAGGAAGAGAACAATCGGCTGATGATGTTTTGTTTGTTCATTAATGTCCCTGCTACATATAGATGGTGGTCTCTTATTAATCGAGTCTGGACCAGACAATCCGGTACGATGGGATACGCAATTGTGATGAGATGACACACATTAACCAACACAGCGAGCCTGACCTGCCGATTCCGTTAGTCCCCTATTACGACAAGCATCATCGCTTTTTACGGCAAGGATGGGTTTCGGAAGAAGCAAAGTCGCTTTTTACAGTTAATATATATATTTACAGTGAACATACATGGCCCCTACAGTTGACAGTAAATACACTACATGTACAGTAAACAGTAATTACAGTACATATACCTTTAACATTGATTACACTACAATTACCGTAAACAGTAAACACACTATATATACAATAAAGAATAAATACAGTACAGTACATTGTAAGAAACCAACCATTTATTGCACAAAAATATCAATACGAAGACATGTACACGAAGTAAATACTTTGAGAAAAAACTATACAATATAAACGTGCCTCTGAACGGCCTGTAGGAAGTGTATATTTAACATATGAATAAACTCATTTTTTCATTTGTTTATAAAACTATTTTTTTATTTGGTAAATTAAATATAAATTACTAAATATTACGTAAATGTAATTGTGAAGGTGACAAACAGTATTGGCATCCAGTGATCGATGACCACCAAAAAAACCTGACAGGGGCTGTGCATGAGTTATGCTTTTTTGTCAATTAAATATAACTTTGTGAATTAAATCTCCACCTTAATTACCATACATATATAAGGGGCAAATAATATATCTTCGCTGGTACCTTCAATATCTCATAGTTATGACCTAGAAGCGAAATAAACGTTGTTTTGTTGTTGTTGTTGTTGTTGTTGAGGGCCACAGAACAGTGTATCCAATTCAATGAATTCAATATCACATGATACAATACTGATATTTATATCTGACATAATGAGCGAAATAAAAAATATGTATAAACAAAAAAACAGTAATTTGCATTAACTTGGAAATGATGGGCCACTGCAACAACAGCTTGTTTACGATGATACTATTTCCCGTCGAGAAACCAGCTATTCAAAAGCCTTTATTGCCGGTAAATTTGATTTACCGCATGTTCTTGGTCAATAAATACGTGTTAAATCGACGGGGTAGAAATAGTTTAAGATTTTTCAAACGAAATACCTCAAACTCCGAGACAGGAGCCGGAGCGTTCTTGATGGGGACGGATACTGTGCCTTCATTCCATGATATACTTCCATCTACGTCAGTGACATATTTTCAACGATTCTTTTTGTTGCATTTATATAATACAATACGTTGTTTAGGTGAGAATATTCAACTCACATTCAAATCTTGTTAAAATAACGACCATGTGTAAGGTTTAAGGTCATAGCAGCAAATGCATATCATTTAGAACCTTGTATCAGACATTTTGCTGTAAAATTGCATCGGGGTACACAGCGAAGATGAAAATGAGGATGTAGGACTTTGTCATGATACAATACATAGCTCTGAAAACGTAATTACCATCCAGACATGAACACAAATACCGACAGAAATTCTTTTTAAGCCTTGGCCTGATGTAATGTAATATGTACATATTCAAATTATTCTATGATAGAAGTAAAACATATCATTGTCCTTGGTCGAACAATGTATTAACATACCCAGCATCAGCTTGAAGTCTCAACTTAGACTCGTCGAATATACGATGGTGAAACTGATGTTTAAATGTAACCATCCCTAGTTTCTTCATGGCGTCATAGGCCTTCAGGAAGCCGATGTAGTCAGCCCTTTTGGGGAAGTCTGTAAAGAGATGCCACTCGATGAGGAACTGCTTGACCGTGGTCAACATGCCGGTCTCAAGGAGATCCTTCAGAACCAACCACTCGTGGCCTTCCACGTCCATCTTCAAGATGTCCAGTGATCTCTGGAATAGACAGACAAGGTGTTAGGAATGTGCGTGTCCTTCGTGTTCCTCTTGGTGATTTTGTATAATAACTCGGAGATGATGAATTATCAGCTATGTGTATCTGTAGCTCAATCATGTTCATCTTTACCTTTATTATGTTCATCTGCAACTCAATTGCTGTTCGTCTCTAACTCAATCATGTTCATCTTTACCTTAATGATGTTCGTCTCTAACTCAATCATGTTCATCACTAACTCAATGCTGTTCATCTCTTTAACTCAGTGATGTCTATCACTAACTCAATGATGTTCATCTCTTAACTCAATGATGTTCATCACTAACTAAATCATGTTCATCTCTTAACTCAATGGACCGCCTTCTTGGTCTAGAGGTAGAGCGTCCGCCCGGAGAGCGGAAGGTCCGGGGTTCGATTCCAGGCCGCGTCATACCAAAAGACGTTAAAAGAGGGTTCTTATTGTTACCCTGTCTGGCGCTCGACATTAAGGGGCTAAAACAAGGACTGGTCGGCTCGGAGTCAGTATACTGTGTCTGAGTGGGGTATCGATGTTAAACTGCGGCATGGTATCTCAGTGAGCTAGCACTATAAATCGGCATCATTCCGGACTAGTACAAGCAGCCACACAAACACATACATGTACATGTACGGGGCTATATAAGTGCAATAATCTTGGACGCGACGTTAAACCCAATTTCACCTCACCTCACACCTTAACTCAATGATGTTCATCTCTAACTCAATTATGTTTATTGGTAAAAGTCACAAATCTTGTATTTTCTCTCTTGTCTCGTATTTTCTAGCATTTCGAAATGTTTGGTGAAGCCTAGCTTTAATTACAGCTTAGATATGAGGGGTGTTGGGTTTGTTTCTACGTTCTTGTATCTTGTACCTGCGGCAGTTAGTACACAACCTGTATCTGCGGCAGTTAGTACACAACTTGTATCTGCGGCAGTTAGTACACAACCTGTATCTGCGGCAGTTAGTACACAACTTGTATCTGCGGCAGTTAGTACACAACCTGTATCTGCGGCAATTAGTACACAACTTGTATCTGCGGCAGTTAGTACACAACCTATATCTGCGGCAAAACGTATACTACCAGTATCAGTGGCAAATAGTACACAACCTGTATCTGCGGCAGTTAGTACACAACTTGTATCTGCGGCAGTTAGTACACAACCTGTATCTGCGGCAGTTAGTACACAACTCGTATCTGCGGCAGTTAGTACACAACTCGTATCTGCGGCAAAACGTATACTACCAGTCTAAGTGGCAAATAGTATACTACCAGTATCAGTGAAAAATAATATACTACCAGTATCAGTGACAAATAGTATACTACCAGTATCAGTGAAAAATAGTACACTACCAGTATCAGTGACAAATAGTATACTACCAGTATCAGTGACAAATAGTATACTACCAGTATCAGTGGCAAATAGTACACTACCTCTTCATGGCCCAACTCCTTCTTGATAGTCGACAGTCTCCTCATCTTCCAGTATTGCTTATGTCTCACATAAAAATCCCTCCTCGCTTCAAATTTGTCATCGTCAAAACCTGCTAGCCCGATTTTGTGAAACACAACACCATTTTCCTTGACATGGTCCTCGCTCTTTATGCTGGAACCAGAAAACAACATTCTAAAAAGTAGTCCCTTGAAAGATTTATTTAATGGGTATATACGGGTATTTCAAATGACTTCTCAAACGCTATAGCAGTTAAGTGATGTCACAGATAGACTGTCAAAAGCAATGTGGAACATAATGCGTCGTCTACGGATTCATATATTTATATATATATTCATTTATCATCCAAAAAAGGTTGCCAAAGGGGGAGGTCAGTCGATGAAACTGCCCAACAATGCTTTCATTGCAGGCCATGGAGATTTGTCAGGGTTACTGTTGACAACGCCTTACAACTGCAAACAATGACCAGTCTTCATCAGTCAGGGAGATGCCATTCATAGCTTACCTGGGGTCAAAGGAGTGGACCTCGCATCCCATGCTGCGCATGTGGTTGTCAAAGTCCCAGTTTCTGTAGATCCTGGAAGGTAAAGGGAGAACATGAAATGTGGATCTTGATATGAAAAAAGGTCAGTGTTTGAAGCTCATGGAAGCTGGACGCGGCGAACGAGACTGTATACTGACATACTGTAATATGTACGTGAGTGAGTGAGTGAGTGAGTATGTTTTTTACGCCGCTTTTAGCAATATTCCTGCAATATCACGGCGGGGGACACTGTAATGTAACGCTACTGGTTTGTGTCGAACTGTCTTATTGTATTATGTTTGTATGCAATTGATTTCTTCATCTGAAATGTATCGATTAAAGTCTGCATAAAGTTTTCAAATGAGAATTGGTTTATCTTAATTCTTGATACCTGTATGTATTTATTGCATTCCAATAGGATTAGAAAGGATGTCAGAGTTTACCCAAGTAAACCATGTACGCTTTGTTACAGCAAATGTTTTCTGAAAGTTCTGTTGTCTGTGAAAATAGGTACACCTTTGAAAATGTTATATTGAGAATTGGGTTCATCCACTTTATTTACTGACGTCGCAAACCGTATATTATGTTATTGGTCTTAACCTGTACAAAGTAAATCTAATAAGTTGGCTTATGTTGTATTTGAAATGTTATTGTCATAATATGAATCTGAACATTACAAACATGAATGGATTAACTTTGTAAAACACAATCTGAACAATTTGGGTTTCAGTAATATGTGGCCAATCTCAACATGGTTTTACTACCTTTCTGCAAACAAATGTTATTTCCACAAGATTACATGATGAATATCTGCAAGTATGGAGACATGAAATAGAAAATACCTTAAAATGTACTACCTCTTTAGATAACAGGTTAAATAATATATTGTGTGAATTATTATTTGTTATGTTGCATCACTACTTGTGTGTGAACGTGTTCTTGGACCACGGCCTGAAGGTAATAAGGTTCAGTTCAGTTCAACTCAGTCTCATGCTCACACTGGTGATCTGTCGGACTCATGTCTCGAGCTCGAGAAACACGGGGTCACGGGTGGCCAAGTCGTTCAGGGCGCCGCGATTCGCTGTGCAGAGTTGCGTCCCTTGGGCACGCCAGAAACGAAGAGTGTGGGCTCGAATCCCGGTTCGCCCCGATTATGTATCTAGGTTTGTCAGCACCGAAGTGGTAATCACTTCGGGCTTTCCTCTCACATTAAGCTGACACGCCGTGATATAACTGGAATACTGTTAAAAGCGGCGTTAAACCCAACTCACTCACTCACTCATGAGTAACACTGAAGTCGTACACTCACAACATGTAACGCAAACATTCAAACACACTGATTATTTACCCAAAGGAATACACCAAACAGGGTTTGGCGATCGTGAATGGCTTGTCTTGACACATGTACCAGTTTCCAGCTGTAGACACATTCTTGCACGTGTACTCGTAGGGTTTCTCCCAGTCCCTGCAAATATGAAAGAGTTTGGAATGGTCAACATTTATTAATCAGTTTGATCATATTTATTCTTTGATAATTTTCTCAGAATATCACATTGCAAACTAAAATGCAGGCAAAAGAAAGTATGCACTTGAAAATAGGATTTGACCAAACAATTACAAACGTTAGCAAAACGTTATCAGGTTGGAAACAGTCATCAAAACACTACAAACGGACGTTCCAAAACACAATGTGATACCCGTATGAAATACATCACCATCGTGTAGCCATTTCTTGTTTGTTAATAGCTAACATCAAGCATGTGTGTATGTTTTCTTTTGACCGACAGTTTACGGGGGCTGATCAAAAAGCTCTAAGCTTGATTAACTTTTAACTTTTTTAACAAAGTGAACTTGTCAGTGTGGTACATTGCATCTGTTGAGGCCGTTTGTATATTAGTGACAGTCAGTTGAACGTGATGGGGGTCCAAAAGGTCACAGAAATTGTAAAGAACGAGTACCGAGCAGTCATCAGGTTTTTGACTTTAGGTTGCTCCCCAAGCAATTCATGACCGAATGGCACAAGTGCATGGGGATAAGTGCCCTAGCTATTCCATCGTCAAACTAAAGCAGGTATGTTTAAGGCTGGGAGAACAAGCCTTGATGATGACCCTAGGTCCTGGCGTCCCTCAACTTCCATCAATGAAGATTCAATCAAGGAGATAGATAAAAACGAATACTGTCAGACAGACTTATTACCATTGCTCAACATGTCTAATCCATTGATCCATTGAAACTAGTATTCATTAACATTTACAGGTGAATAAGATATCTGCTCGTTGGGTGCCAAAGTTTCTAAATTCTGATCTTAAAGAAAATATGAACTGACATTGCCAGTGACAGGTGATGAAACATGGGGCTACCACTATGATCTCGAGTCAAAACGTCAATCCATGGAATGGCCCAAGTCCACTTCTTCGGTACCAAAGAAATTCAAGTGTTCAGTGAAGAAAGTTATGGCCACTGTAATCTGGGCATGCAAAGGGTGTGATCCTTGTTGATTACTAACTTAAGTCAAAAGACGACTACCGGTGCCCACTATGCTGATTTGTTTCATCGCCCCGTGAGAAAACGGCGAGGAATGCCAATTGCTCGAGTGAATACCACTTTATGACAATGCCTCTTCACACACCTGACCCGTGAAGATCCGGGGAAGAATAGGTCTACAGCAACCCATGTTTGCAGTAAAAGGCGACTATGCTTGTCGTAAGAGGCGACCAACAGGATCGGGTGGTCAGGCTCGCTGACTTGGTTTATGCATGGCATCGTATCCCGATTGTGTGGATCGATGCTCATGATGTCAGTCACTGGATTGTCTGGTCAAGACTCCATTATTTACATGTTAATAAATAGAATTAAAAACGCTTTCACAAGTGTTTGTTTTGTTTGTTATGCGTTGAACATTTTGACCAGCCCTCGTTTTCAATTTACCCGTAAAGTAAACCCTATTCGCAAACCTAACTTATATATGAATGACACAAAAATCAAAGATGTACAAAGTCATAAGTACCTAGATATTACATTACAAAGTAACTGTTCGTGAACAATGCACAGTGATAATACTGCAATGAAATAATGTCCTCTGGTTAATTGTTTAAGAGTGAGTGAGTGAGTGAGTTGGGTTTAACGCCGCTTTTAACAGTATTCCAGTTATATCACGGCGTGTCAGCTTAATGTGGGAGGAAAGCCCGAAGTGATGCAGGTCTCAGACGTTTACCACTTCGGTGAAACCCACGAGCACGGGTATGGTGCTGACAAACCTAGAAACATAATCGGGGCGAACCGGGATTCGAACCCACAATCATAGGTTTCTGGCGTGCCCAAGGGACGCAACTCTGCACAGCGAATCGCGGCGCCTTAGACGACTGGGCCACCCGTGCCCCCAATTGTTTAAGAAGTTATAAATATCGTCCCGAACTACATTAGAAACTACGTACACATCATTTATTTTACCAACTTTTGCTTATTGTTGTCATATTTAGTAGACGGTCCTAATGAACAACCTAATTCATTTGTAAAATTAAACTAGACTCAGAATTATATGTGCACTGTCCGGGGTACGAGTCATCAGAACTTTATTATTATTATTTTTATTTTTCCTATTTTTTTTTTTTCTATTTATTTTTTTTAACTTTATTATTTTTACCAACACGGTTATTCTTTACAAACAGTGCTTTTCGGAAATTCGTATTTGAGTAAGGGATATCAAATCCAAATATGAGATTCTGTTCAAAACTTCAACCTGGCAGATTCTCAATTAAGTAAATGAAATTGATAAATATAAACTGCTAAAATACATACGTGTATCTAGCTTGGCATGTATAATTCTTTTGTCGCATTCATCCTTTACTGGTGTATTAATTGTATTATGTAGTATGTGTAATGAAGCGTTGTTGAGGTAAGCGATTCGCTTGTGTACCAATCCATTTCATGGTTTTGTTAAAATAAATACAGTAAACTACGGTTATAACGAACTCAACGGGACCACAAATTTTAGTTCGTTATAACCGTAGTTCGTTATGAGCATATATATACAGCATATATACAGCAAATGTACGGGACCCAAAAAACAGTTCGCTATATCCGCCGGTTCGTTATAAGCCTGTTCGTTATAAACGTAGTTTAGTGTATGTTTAAAGCAAGAGGTCAGCAACGGGTCTCCATGACGACCACCATGTCAAAAGTACAGAGAGACCTCTCAAGGAACCACATCACTAAATCAACAGTATTTAAATAGAAATAAGCACGAGCTAATAACTATGAAGTGATGACAATATATGACAGACATGTCAATCGTGAATAAAAGTGTATGATAATGCAGTATTGTAGGAATTTTGTTGTGGCAGAGAGAGAAAGAACAAACAAATTTAATGGATATTGACATCCTGAGGAGAGGCACTAAAGACCCAATGCGCATTGTGAACAAAGTACCTTACGCTTCCGTGGACGTTTTGGACAAGTTCGTTTATTCAATACCTTTCTCAAGCTATTAGTTACTTTTAACAAAAATCAATGCTTTATAACATGCACATGTTCAGTTCGGGATTTGACTGAACTTTTACAGTGAGAAATTTGGAAATACATCAATGCTTTATAACATGCACATGCTCAGTTCGGGATTTGTCTGAACTTTTATTGTGTGAAATTTGGAAATTGTGGGATGTATCGTTGTTACGATACGTCTTCTTCAGACGAAAGTAGGAAGTATTTACGTCACTCTCCAATGAACACGGCGCAGCCATAGTACACGGGTTACCTGTTACGTGACAGTCAAGATTTAACACAAGGCTGAGCGGAGGGTCAATAGGGTTACTTTTGTCATGGTAGAATTCAGCTTCACATACTGTGTTTTCAATGAAGATCTAGGTTAACCTCCTACAAAGATATGAGCGGCTTGGTTTTTATTCTCATGGCTACCGAAGCATGTAGCGGGATACAGCAGTCTGATAGTGACTTGACTGGTAGTTGAAACTAGAATGTTTTGTGTTGATCAGGACAACAGTTAGGCAGGTTAGACAGGCTAGGCAGGTAGGCAGGCTGGCAGGTAGGCAGGTGGGCAGGTGGGCAGGTAGGCAGGTAGGCAGGCTAGGCAGGCTAGGCAGGTAGGCAGGTAGGCAGGTGGGCAGGTGGGCAGGTGGGCAGGTAGGCAGGCTAGGCAGGCTAGGCAGGCTAGGCAGGTAGGCAGGCTGGCAGGTAGGCAGGTGGGCAGGTGGGCAGGCTAGGCAGGTAGGCAGGTAGGCAGGTGGGCAGGTAGGCCGACTGACGGCTTCAAGATGCCGCCTGGCTAATGGTGTGCTATTACAATTATGTGCTTGTATTCCAGTGAAAGCCGACACTCCGTGAAGGGTCATACTCCGATGAACCGTCACAAAGTGAAAGTCAGTGAAAGTGAGAGTCAGTTCTGTCAGTTCTGTCAGTTCTATCAGTTCTATATCTCCCTCAGTTCTATCAGTTCCATCAGTTCTATCAGTTCTATCCGTTCCATCAGTTCTATCAGTTCTATAACTCCCTCAGTTCTATCAGTTCTATAACTCCCTCAGTTCTATCAGTTCTACCCGTTCTATCTATTCTATAACTCCATCAGTTCTATCAGTTCTGTAACTCCATCAGTTCTATCTGTTCTATAACTCTCTATCAGTTCTATCTGTTCTATAACTCCATCAGTTCTATCCCGTCTATCTGTTCTATAACTCCATCAGTTCTATAACTCTCCATCAGTTCTATAACTCTCCATCAGTTCTATAACTCTCTATCAGTTCTATAACTCCATCAGTTCTATCCGTTCTATCTGTTCTATAACTCCATCAGTTCTATAACTCTCTATCAGTTCTATAACTCCATCAGTTCTATCAGTTCTATAACTCCATCAGTTATATCAGTTCTATAACCCCATCAGTTCTATCAGTTCTATAACCCTCTATCAGTTCTATCAGTTCTATCTGTTCTATAACCCCATCAGTTCTATCAGTTCTATAACTATCTATCAGTTCTATCCGTTCTATAACTCTCTATCAGTTCTATCAGTAACGCCAATTGCCTCTTTGTACTCACAGGCCGGTTTATCACAGTTTATTTATCTATCAATTTCCAAATTGCTTTACGCCAGTTGAATTAACACCTGGCTGAGCGGAGGTATGGGTAGAAGGGTGGGAATGTAGTGTTATGTTTTGTGTTGATGTGTTCTTCTTCTTCTTCTTCTATGATTGTGGGTTCGAATCTCGGTTCGCCCCGATTATTTTCTAGGTTTGTCAGCACCATCACTGAAGTGGTAAACGTCTGAGATCTGCATCATTTCGGACATGCATCCCACATTAAGCTGACACGCCGTGAAATAACTGGATTACTGTTAAAAGCGGCGTTAAACCCAACTCACTCACTCTTCTGTTAAATGACTTTATTGTTGTCACATCTGGGACTTGTACCTACCATTTGAGTATCGCGCTAGCCTGCCACCACTCCGTGATTGAGAAGCCTCGTCTGCTGGGTTCGGGTGCAGGTAGCCTGGCCTCAGTTTGCTTCAGGTCTCGTGAGTGCAGGGACGGGTCATTCTTCAGCCTGTTGTACAATTTGTCCACCACTGACGAAAAAAGATTTAGTAGTTAGCATACAATAGACTCGAATACCATGCGGCAGTTTAACATGAATACCCCTCAATGCCCCTTCTGCCTACCGCCAGGTTACCTCAGATTTTTCATGGAGATATACTAGATATGTTTTTCAGTTACAGTTGCAAAACAACATAGTTTTTTTTATTTATAACTATAAGCCTAAATATTTATTTTTGTTACAAAAGCATCTTGCAACAATGTATTTTACCAAGAGGATTTTGGGACACATATACTTCTATCGACAACATGTAAATGTGGGGAACCGAACCAGGCCTTCGGCGCCACGAGCGAACAATTCAACAGCCGAAGCACTGTCGGAATAATCTATGATGTAGACTGTGCGACTCACGGGCACCAGGAGGTCATCACCCCGGGACAGGTGTACTAAACTCAGGCCATAGGCCGTTTCATACTTTCATCGCTTCCTTCTGTGTGGTCAAGTTCGGACTCCTGGCCATTCCGAAGTTGTCCCGCCCTGCCTTACATGCATGCCAACACACGAATAAGTTTATCATCTGTGAAAGGTACCTTGTCAGGTTAATCACACTGTCATTCAGGATAGGTGATTAGATAGATTTGCGTTATTTTGATACATGCTATTTTCAAAGCCCTATTCGTATTTACTGAATGAAGCCAGATAATCATTTTTCTTGCATTTCCGGCAGTACCTCTTAAACTACATGCAACCCCACCGCCCTGGTTCAATAAATCAGATCGTTCATGGTGAAAGCATATCACTCTTATTCGTTTTTATTTTTTTATTTCTGTTGGCATATTGTTTTTAACCAGAGCTATCCTTTCCGCTTCTTATCAGAGATTCGGACCTGCATGTTGTGTGGTTGCTATATTTCACTTTTACTTCTGATAGCCACCATGTTAGTATTTGCTTGAATGTGTTACCGTATATTTCAATCAAGTGGTGTGACCGTCTACTGCCATCTAATGTTGATACCGTCTATAATTATTAAGTGTTGTCACCGTCTATTACCATTAAGCGTTGTTACCGTCTATTACTATCAAGTGGTGTCACCGTTCATTACCTTCAAGTGTTGTTACCGTCTATTACCTTCAAGCGTTGTTACCGTCTATTCCCATCAAGTGGTGTTACCGTAAACTGGTATCACCATTAAGTGTTTTACCGCCCATTACCATCTAGTGTTATTACCGTATATTGCCATCAAGTGTTGTTACCGTATATTACCTTCAAGTGCTGTTACCGCCCATTACCATCTAGTGTTTTTACCGTATATTGCCATCAAGTGTTGTTACCGTATATTACCTTCAAGTGCTGTTACCGTCAATTACCACCAAGTGTTGTTACCGTCTATTACCTTCAAGTGTTGATACCATCTATTACAATCAAGTGTTTTACCGTATATTGCCATCAAGTGTTGTTACCGTCTATTACCATCAAGTGTTGTTACCGTCTATTGCCTTCAAGTGTTGATACCATCTACTACCATCAAGTGGTGTTACCGTATATTCCCATCAAGTGTTGTTACCGGTTTTCTTGTGTGTTTGTGCTCCCGTGTGTCTAACTCCTCTGCTTCACACAATGGTAACAAAGTGACTGAGTGAGTTGATGGTATTTTTAACCGTTTTTAACATAATTCCAGTTATATCATGGTGGGTCAGCATAATTTAGGAGGAAAGCCCTATGTGATGCATATATATATGGATTTATTGTATTTATGGTTGTTTTAGTTAGGTCAGTATTTTTATTCGCGATATTATATATAAAGATGTACTGGTGCTTATTCAGCACTGAAAGGATACTTTTTCTCAGATTTAGTTCTAAAATAAAATTTGATTTGAAAATTTGAAAAAAAATAAAGACACCTCGCATAATCCACAACGGTTGATAGGTAACTTAGATATCTTATCTTGAAAGATCAATAAATTTGCGATTTTCGGCACAATTTACAACGTTTCAAACATGGTAGGGTCACGTGGAAGCAAATTCATTTCTTACCCCAGTCTTGACTGAACCAACCAATGCTTACCGACGTAAAAGGCGACTATGCTTGTCGTAAGAGGCGACTAACGGGATTGGGTGGTCAGGCTCGCTGATTTTTTAATGCATGTCATCGTATACTAATTGCATGGATTGATGCTCATGATGTTAATCACTCGATTATTTACAGACCACCGTCATATAGCTGGAATATTGCCGAGTGTGGCGTTAAACAACAAACAAACAAACAAACAAACAAAACGTGTGTCTGGGTGAATATAGTGAATCCATGCGCACTGTAGTGCTATCAGAATACTCAGAGCAATACAGATATCCCGATACAGTACAAAATGGGCCCGTCCTGTTGAAATTGACTTATGACAGACAGACAATAAAGAAAAAATGAATATAACTATTTAAAAAAAGAAAATACTGATAGTCAGCTGTTATAAGAGAAAAACTAAACCTTTAAACCTGGCTTAACTCTTTTAAAAGTCCTTGTACTGACGCACTGCGCGGTAAAAAACACGACTAATGAAATAGGCTTTTATGTCTTGGTATTCATTACAGCATGTTCTTATTCCCGTGGTGACACGAGCCTATCTGAGTTATACACACGCTCGCACATGGGTCCGTGCTCTCGATAAGAGGACAAATGCCGTTATAAAGCGTGTTATAACGAGTGTACGAGTTTTGCCAAAGCTCAAGCAGTGTGCTTGTCACTTGACACTGACCTTCACCTCGGATCACCCCCATATTAGGAGATTGTTGGTGTGAACAGTGTCCTTTGTGTGTCTCATCTGGGAGGCTGCTTTATATCCTCGGGAATCTTGGGGACGGTTCGGGGTGAACAATTCTTATTGCTGTAGTAATGTTTGCTTCAATGATTTATGACTGAGGGTTGGTGTCTGATTCCTGCACTGTGTTCTCTGAGAAAATCTCTGTCAAGGGCGGGTCCAGTATTTGTCAAAGGGTGGGGTCCAGTATTTGTCAAAGGGTGGGGTCCAAAATATATTTAAAAAAACACTGGGGTGCGTCATACCATCAAATGTGTATTATAACCGTGAAAGTTATTTGGGTGTGTGACATACAATATCAGAGATGCTTTTAGTCTGACACGTATAGGTGTGTGACATACCATATCAGAGATGTCTTTTAGCCTACAACATATGGGTGTGTGACATATCATATCAGAGATGTTTTTAGCCTAAAACATATGGGTGTGTGACATGTCATATCGGAGATGTATTTTTAGCCTAAAACATATGGGTGTGTGACATCATATCAGAGATGTTTTTAGCCTAAAACATATGGGTGTGTGACATATCATATCAGAGATGTCTTTTAGCCTAAAACATATGGGTGTGTGACATACCATATCAGAGATGTTTTTAGCCTAAAACATACGGGGGTGTGAGATACCATATCAGAGATGTCTTTTAGCCTAAAACATATGGATGTGTAACGTACCATATCTGAGATGATTTTATCCTAAAACATATGTCGAAAAACAAATTGGATTCATTTAAACTAACATCTTTCACAAACGTGAAACGTAACTGGCCTCCGGTGCAGCTCCCTGTTTTGGCTTGTGTCAAGAGTTCACGTAATTTTAGGTGAACATTTGTCGTGTCTTTGCATGTGTTTGTGACGAGTACCCAGGTGGGGCAGGACACGGTCACCTTTTCGCGAATACCTGGTATAATCTCAGTTTGATATTATGCTAATGATTCTGTTTGTTTGTTGTTTAACGCCGCACTCAGCAATATTCAAGCTTTATGACAGCGCAATGCTGATGAGAGTAGGAATGGTACAATGAACTACGGTTGAGATTTCTAATGATTATGGCTATGGATACTGTCGTATTTTATTTTTTAAATAAGTTGTGAACAGGTTTTGTCCTCAACTGAAAAGGCTAAAGGTTCTACTACACCAAATCAGAACCAGTTGGGACAGTGCGTTTTTCGTAGCCTTCAGTGCAGATCGAGAGATATCTGCAGGCTGTGATTGGAGGATATTCTGTAAGGATATTCTGTAAGAATTTTATGTCTTTCAAATGTAAATCCATCCAGTTATTAAAACTGACCATGTTTTTCTATATTTAGTACTGTCTTTTTCAACATGATGACTTATACTGAATGTGACCACAGCTATTTTCAAGTAGGTGACATTTGGTGCGAAACTCGGGGTAGTGTGTTTAGCTTCCTGTACTCGGAAAAGGAACTGGCTAGGGTAGTCATTTTTTATGTTTTTATTGCTGCTCTAAGGCCAAACAGTGCACACACGTACAGGTAATAGCTGTTGAATGCTTAGTTATTTTTAAATAAAATATAACGTCACTATAGAAGTCTATGGGAAAACATGTGGTTGTGTGTAACCTAAGGCCACGATAATTATTGGGGCTACCATTGTACAAGGAACATACAACTCCTTTCAACCAAAGTTCTGCGAAAAGACGGGTATCGGAAAATAATTAAACAACAAGACAAGCAACTCTTTAACACCTTTGAATATGTTAGGTGTTCATTAATTGTATTATCAATGCCACAGGCTTATACTTTTAAAAACAATGTATTTAAAGCTGTATTAATTTCCAAAAGATGCATTTCATTGTTCAGGACAGCATGAGCATCACTGGTGGCTGACGTCCTTATAATGTACATAACTGGTACATAGTCGTGACTACAATGGTCGACAACCCATCAAGTTTGAAGACAGGGTCAGTTACGTTATCTGAGCATCCTACGTGGTGTATTTAGTTCTTGGTTAAGTGAACATAGATATAGCCTAGTCGACTATCGTTCAAGGATATTCAAGGAATAATGCCCCAACAAACAGTATTAATAATGCGATTGTTTACAAATACTAAGGCCATTGTCTTATATTAAAAAATCATATGTTATCCATATTGCAAAAGATTCACGATTGCTTTCAAGTGTTTAAAAGGATTGTGAATAGTTGAACATTTTAGGATTTGTATTTCTTGTATATTAATGTTAAAAAGGATATCAAATGACAAGTAATAATGACAAAGATGATTTCTTTCACAGAGACAATCGACAAGACTGTTAGATTGATATTTTTTAATTTGTTCATAAATGGAGAAGTGCAATTTTACCACAAATGTTAAAGAAACAGAGTACTGTATTACCTCTAATGTATGCATGTAATAGTTTTAATGATCAACTACCCACTCAGCCGTTACCTTTTGGGCTATGTCTATGGATACAATGTGAGTGACATTTTGTCCACAATGCCATTTGAAGGTGAAATGAGTGAGTGAGTGAGTGAGTGAGTTGGGTTTAACGCCGCTTTTAACATTATTCCAGTTATATCACGGCGTGTCAGCTTAATGTGGGAGGAAAGCCCGAAGTGATGCAGGTCTCAGACGTTTACCACTTCGGTGAAACCCACGAGCACGGGTGGTGCTGACAAACCTAGAAACATAATCGGGGCGAACCGGGATTCGAACCCACAATCATAGGTTTCTGGCATGCCTAAGGGACGCAACTCTGCACAGCGAATCGCGGCGCCTTAGACGACTGGGCCACCCGTGCCCCCTAAAGGTGAAATGAAATTAAGCTAAACCTACATTATACATGAGGAGAAGGTTTCAGCTGCTGGCACATCTGGCTTTAATCGGAAATGTTATCAGAGCGAGGCCAAGTGAGTGAGTGAGTTGGGTTTAACGCCGCTTTTAACAGTATTCCAGTTATATCACGGCGTGTCAGCTTAATGTGGGAGGAAAGCCTGAAGTGATGCAGGTCTCAGACGTTTATCACTTCGGTGAAACCCACGAGCACGGGTATGGTGCTGACAAACCTGTAACATTCGATTCGAACCCACAATCATTGAAAGTACGAGAAGATCAGATATCGTCAAAAACCTAGTCCTGCACCATGACTGTGGAATACAGGATTTTATGAAAACAAAACCATCTTAAAAAATATAAAGCAAGACTAGCTCTAATATGAAATCTGCATCAGGAAAAAAATAGAGCAGAGAAATTATAATGTGTAATGAAAGATCTCAAGACTACATGATAGTCAAGGACAAAGCCACCTATGTTAGCTGAAGTTTCTGTCATGTTAATAGAATGTGTCTCTAAAGCTCTTGGATCGATGCTCCTGATGTCAAGCACTGGATTGCCTGGTCCAGACTCGATTATTTACAGACCGCCGTCAAAAAGCTGGAATATTGCTGAGTGTGGCGACAAACAAACAAATAAATAAAGCTCTCTTACACACAGATTCGGTGTCCAGTCTTGTTAATGACACACTGACCATGAGGTTGGCCTTGTGCTTGGTCACACTGACCACACTGATAGAAATAGACTGTAAACAGTCGCTGTATTAAATAACGGTATTTGGTGGAGTACAGTAACATATATTCTCTGAAATGAAATTATTTCCCAGAATATACAATTATTAAATTTTCTGACTAAATATAATACAGAGGAGTCCAGGGAGTATCTTCATCTTCTAGACACTCAACTATTATAGACTGGGGATGGGATAAAGTGGATAGTTTTTTTTCAGAATCTGTATGCCATGCTAAAGAGGAATGCACTTAGATCTCATAGGTGTGTCATCAGCTTACTAAAGGTCTAGAAACTTGTCCACAGCCATTGTTTAAGAAGATGACTCTGTTATGATTTTGTTTCATGTTTGACGTCGCACTCAGTAATATTTCAGAAAAAGTACGTCGGTCTATAAAAATGGAGTCTGGACCAGATAATTCAGTGATTGACACCACGAACATCAATCTTCGTAATTGGGATATCATGACATGCATCAACCAAGTCAGTGAGCCTGACCACCCGATCCCGCTAGTCGCCTCTTAGGACAAGCATTGTCCCATTTTACGACAAGCGTGGGTTGCTGAAGACCTATTCTACCCTGAACCTTCACGGGTCTAGACACGAATGTACACCCGATGTTGCATGAGAGGTGTATTCTTTATTGCTGACAGTGGTCGTGGGTTTCACCGAAGTGGTAAACGTCTGAGACCTGCATCACATCGGGCTTTCCTCACACATTTAGCTGACACGCGCGATATAACTGTAATACTGTTAAAAGCGTCGTTAAACCCAGCTCTCTCACTCTCCATTAAATCAATATGACCCCCTTTCCAACATTGCCGTCACATGGTAACATAAGTATACAGCGATCTGTAGAAATAGGCTCATGTACTCTGAATCAAGAGATGTGATTGATACCAGATACGTTCCCTTCCAAATAATATATTGACATAAGAAGAGTATTTGCATTAGAGCATCAGTGGTTCAATCGAGGCATGAACACCGATGTATTTACTGAGTATGAAGTTTGTCTAGCTCAATCAAATTGCTCCATTGCTTTGATCGTTTTTGAAACGTCCCCACAACACCCACAACACCCAACCTCAATAAGCCGAGCGGTTGATGAATGGAAGATTGTTTCAGTATGTATATAAAAGGGTTGTACATCTCGTTAGCGGCCATTGTAATTATGGCAACAATCTTATTGGTGCAATAAACACACATATTAGACACCGGTGGGGTAGGAATCGCTGGCCCTGGCATCATTATTTGATAGTGATTCATAAACGCAAGCTTATGATGGAGTCGGAATCATGCAATGGACTAGTCTGGAAGGTAATTTAAGGTACCGACTTTAACTACAATATCTGAAAAACTATCGAACCTACTCCAGTCAAAGTTGGTATGAGATTATTAAACAGTCATACATAACTGGATACTACATTTAGACAATCGGTGCATGAATAAAAAATCTGTCTATTTAGTTATCACTTTATTTCATCAACAACCAGACCTGTTCGTCACGGGTGGAACGAGCATTCATTGAAACAGCCATAATACGGTGTAAGCGTTGGGCGTCTCAACGTGCGTGATTCCCGTGCACCCTTTCGAGTTGAGTTGATTGGTTCAACTGTGTCATATGGCCCTGTGACGCAGGGGTAGCATTATGCAGATGGCTGTTTCAATGAATGCTCGTTCCACCCGTGACGAACAGGTCTGGTTGTTGATGAAATATAGTGATAGCTAAATAGACAGATTTTTATTCATGCATCGATTGTCTTTAAATGCAATATCCAGTTATGTATGACTGTTTAATAATATCATACCAACTTTGACTGGAGTAGGTCCACACCTTGTCCTCAAATTACATCCTCAATGAACAATAGCTATAGTAACGCAGTGATAAGGCTATATATAGCCTTTGGAGTCGATATATTCTGTGTATTATATGCGAATAGTACATTACAGTGCACACTTTTGTATATTCTTAACAGTTTCGTCGTGCTAATGCTGTAGGTACTGTGCAAAACATGACACGTTAGTCATTTGTATTTTCTCTCACTCTCCCTTTATCAATAACCTTAGTGTCTCTTAACTGACAGGCGAGCACTGTATGGTAGAGTATCCTCAACATATTAATGTGGTCTTTGAAAGGCATTTAGAACTGATACACATGAGGAAGAGAATATATGGATGTCAACTTCTTTATTATGAGGAACACACGTTTCGAAGTATATGCTTACTCCTTCATCGGGTGAATGAATGCCATGAGGCAGAAAGCATATATATGTACATGTTAGGGCAACAAAATTAATAAGATAACAACAGGGTGGAAAATAACAAAGGGTAGAAACTAACAAGGGAAGCCAACAGCTGATTGGCGCTGATAGGTGATTAGCGATAGACAATGGAAGCCAACGCTTTACAGTAATTGGCACTGAAGGTATGTTAGCAAGTACTTAAGTTATCATAAATAAGTAGAAGGTAATGGACACTGGGCAAACGGTAGGCCGGGCTAATTAGCACTGGTAGGTGAAAGAATGGACACAACAAAGGGCAAATTGAAGCATATACTCCGAAGATTATGTTCCTTATAATAAAAAAGTTGACATCCATATATTCTCTTCCTCATACTAAAATGGGTTAACTCTATGTCCATTTCTCTCCCAAGCTTAGCCAGTCACTATCCATTGTGTTCAACTGGGTGTGCCCAAACAAGAATGCGTGATTTCCTGTCCCCTAGATACGGGAAGGTTAATACTAAATGGAGGAAGATATATGATCTAGCAACTCACCTGAGTCCGAAAGTTGGTTTAAATCCACGTTTGTATCATTACTTCTGTAAAATGAGTTCATAAATAGCAACAGTCCCACTGAAGTGACTATGAGCGTAGTGAGCCCAGCGTTCACCCGCGCCATCTTTCTGTATATGCTATGATCGGGTGGGTTTGCGAACTGGGTCAGGTCGAATGGCAAGATAGTAGACGTAAACATTAAAGCGTAATGTAGCGTGACGAAAAACAACACAAAAGCGGATGAAATACTTCCCAAATGCGGCTTAGTGGTATCCTCAAAAAGTGAGCTTACTTGTGCTGTAATGGGCTAGTCCAGTCTAGGTAGACTGATTAGAACGGGGACACCTCGGTTTGCCGGCACCTATTGTTCTGGGTTACAAATTACCCAACCATTACTGACAAGTGTACAATAGAGGTATTGTGATGATTAAAAAGGGATTTAAAAGAGGGCAACATGACTTTCGTTATTTTATATCTCATGTACATACAGCATACATTATAAATCATACATGTGTTCATACATACAAAATATATAAACTTTAAGTCAGAAATTGAATTGTGGTGGTGGTTGTTGCGGTATGTGGTGATGATATTGTTTGCTGTATTGATAGTTGCTGCGCCAGCTTGGACCCTCGCAATTCACAACCCAACACAGGTATTCCAATATACTTGTAGCTTTACTTCTCAGTAATGGTCAAACAACATGTGAGGAGAAGACGACACAAGCCAAGGGAGGTAACTCTCCCACTACCTAGGCAGTCTGCCGCTAAACATAAACAACGGTCGCCAACCACACTGGCGCAACCTCCTTTTTTCTTTGTAACACATTACCTGATATGGGTTACTATTAAAGACTCATACTGTCATAAACAATACCCAAAATAACTGGTCACAATAAAACTTAAAACCTGATGTAGATATCCTTGACATCACGTGATATAAGCTGATACGACACCATAACTATAGTCTAAATGCGAAAAGGTATCCAGACACAGTTGATGGACATAGCAACATAAACATGTTAGAAATCGGTTACATAGTCATTGAGGTGTTGAGGTGGTCGCCGTGCACGGATTGACCTCCTTTGTGCACTGACTGGAGTTGAATACACGGTATCATCAGTGTCATCTGTATACACAATGTCATTGTCACTAACATTTTCACGCAAGGAGTCCTGATTATCAAGAGGAGGATGTTCTGGTGGGTTGACTAAAATGTCTTGGTCATGGTATGGTTCATTTAGCACTGGGGGAACGATGGGAAGGGTAGGTGGTTCAGTCCTTTGGGGAACAGTATCTATCTCACCATCAGAAGACTCATCGCACACATATTGCTGAGGAAGTCCACTTGACCGTTCATGTTGACATGGAACTCTGATTTTTTTACTCTATATGATGTGCTTCGAAGTTGGGAACCCACAAACTTCTGAATGTTGCACCATTCACCATCGTTAACAACCACAAGGTATCGATCTCGTGACCGTGATTTATTACGATCTGCATGTAGATATACCAGGTCACCAATGCTGATGTTAGGGGTGGGCAGGCTTGGGATATGGGCTTTAGACATCTCACTGTGTAGGTGATTGGTAGTTCGCCGGTGATGTTGGTCAAGGATCAATTTTCTGTCTCCAACGGGTATTTGGTGGTTGTTAAATTGATCTCTTTGTGTCCACATTTCCCTGGCGGATAACCCTCTGGATCTGATGCGAGAATTTAGTTGAGCAGTGGCTATAGCTAGGGTTATAGGTGTGACCGACCCCCCCAAAGGATCAATTTTTAACAATTCCAGCTCCAGCTCTTGAATAGCTCGCTCGGCTACGGGATTCTTGTTCTTGTTCTTTATTCGACCAATTTCAATGCAAAGACGTTGACTTCGGAGAAGGTCATCTTGAACTAAGGCCTTAAACCCTGGAGCTGGGTCAGTTCTGATGACCGCCGGGGGTCCATCTAATGGTCTCATCTCAACACTTAGGCGAATCAAAGCCTCACGTAGGGTTCCCTTTTGTTCATTTTCAATGGCACATGTACAGGTGAAAGATGTGACACATTCTCTCAACACAAGTATGAGTTGTCGTTCTCTTTTTATTACATCTGCAGCAAACGCGGCTCCAATGATCTCTGGGGGATCAGTAGATGACTGAGCCACAACTGTGTGGGGAACCTGTTGAAGAGATGTACAGTGATAACATCCGCTTGAAACTTTAGTTATTGCTTGATCCATGTCCAAAGCATAGAAGTAGCGGTTCACAACGAGTTTCAACTGGTGGGCAGAAGGATGATTTAACTGGATGTGCATTGCAGTCAGTAATCCATCCAAGACTTGTCGTGGAATGACGATGCACTCTCTGATGGTAACAAGGGGCTCATTTCTTTGAATCACCAACACACCATCTTTGGCGATGGTCACAGACTGTAGATAACGTTTTACGTCTTTAACATCAGTTTGTTTCTTGGATGGGCGAGTGCCCTGTATGAGATGAGCATGTGTGCGTCTGAGATCAGAACACTCTGACTGGATGGCGAGCCATGCATTCCTGTTGGTGTATGGCAGTTTAGATTTCCCTGACATGATGTCCTGAACAGAAGTACCACGTACCGTACAGTCCTCAGTTTGACGTATGAATGAGCAAATCTGACACAGGGGCTCGTCACACTTGGATGCATTTCTACTGGCAAAATCAGATGGAATATTTGCAGAACCACTGAGATGGCGAACAGAGGCCTGGTATCTACTCACTGTCGACAAAAAGGTAGACACTCTGGGGCTTGCTGAAAACTCTCCACGACACAACTTTTCATATGCTTGAACACATGGTTTACTGTCAGTCAGGATACATGCTTGTAGGCTTGACTGTACAAGGTAAGGACTAAAGTGCTTGGTGGCAACAGCTATAGATAGTGCTTCTATTTCACACGGTAGCCATGTCATTTGACGCTGGCGCAGTTTGGCACTGAAGAAACCAGCGAGGAGAGTACTGTTGTTCCTTGTAATGTAGAGAGTAGCACCTATGCCATGGTTTTTCACTGCTCCATCTGTAACGATCCATAGCTGGTCATCCTTTCGAGGAAGAACAATGGTTTTATGTGAGGATAGTGCAGATTGAGCATTTCCAAAGGCACAGATAAGTACCTCTGACCAAACTATTCTCTCTGCTAAAGGACGTCCAGCTTGAAGAGTGTCCAATGGACCCAATAGTCCAGCACAACCTGGTATTACCCGGGCTAACACTTTGTAGGCTCCAATAAACGACCTCAAACCCTTGACCGTAGATGGACGGGTGCAACTAGAGAGGGTGGAAATTCTGTGAGGACTTGCTTGAATTGAGCCATTTTTCCAAATCCATCCTAAGATGGTCACACTAGAAGGGCCGACAGTAGTCTTGGCAGCTGAAAGCTTTAATCCATTGAATTGCAAGGCCTGTAGAACACGTCGCCAGTTGTTCAGAAGCTCGTCTACGGTATTACCTCCACAATATAAGTCATCTGCCAACTTGGCCACTGATCCTTCCTTGAGCAAGCGCCCAAGCACACGACACATCAATTCTTCTAACGCAGTTTCAGAGCCCGGCATGCCCATGGCTGATCGGGCATAAACACGGACTCCACGGAAGGGAGTGGCCACACCACAATATTTCATTGATCCACGTGACAGGGGTATTTGGTAAAAAGCATTTGTCAAATCTGTGGTTATGATGTACTTCCATGCAGCTATCTGGCGTAATGTAGAATCAACATCAGGCATGAGTGATGGTTGTGGTTTACTATACCGCCCCACATCTGTGAATGCTGTAACCAGACGGAATCCACCATTTGACTTCTTGACAAGGAAGGATGGATTTAAATATTCCACTGATATCCCCACATCTTCAGGCTTGACGAAGACACCAATGTCCTCAAGCTCATCGAATTTGTCTTGCAACTCTACAAGTTTGTCACGTGAGTATTGTGGGACTCGTCCCTTGCGTTGAGGGGGTTGGACAGGACCCATGTTGACAACTGCCTTGAACGGGCCAGATTTTCCATTATATCCATGGACATGTGGATTAAACACATCATCGTACTCCTTTATGAGGGCGTGGAAACTGTTGCGAGTGTCTGGTGTGAACTGGTTATCTGGGTCAATGCGTACCTGTTCTGAACAATTGACCTTGCATGTAGTAGTGGACTGTCTGAGAGGAATGCTTTCTGATTGACTATCGACCATCTCGGTCCCAGAGTTTTGGATGGTGAATACTTGTTGAACCTGGCAAAAGTGCTCATGCTTCTTGAGGACAAGAGGCTCTTTGGTGTCATTAGGAATTCTAATCTTCCCTGAAACGCTGGACACTATATCTGGTGTTGGCCATTCTTTGTGGTCTTTGAATAAATCACCTGTTAGACGTGGTTCCACTGCGAATGTGTCATCTGAGTGGATCAGGTCATCCGGGAGTGATAACTCTATGAAATCGCCAGGCCAGATTGTTGTAGGGGACTTAGGCGCTCGTAAGACATGTGCACGTCTTACTGTATGGTGTGACGAGTGGGTTTCTTGGTTGCCGTACTGGAAGGTGGTTCCATCTCCAAGTGTAATTTGGCGCTTAGCTGGGCGAACGGCAACATCATTTATTTCCATGAACGGTGTTCCTGCAAGCAACTCGACATCAAGGTTCTCCACAACAAGGCCCTCGAAAATAAAATCCTTATTGTCACGGCTGAGAGTTACTCGTGTTTCACCAACAATATGGAGTGGGGATGAACCATCAGCCTGATGGGCAGATTGTGAACTTTTGGTGACTTCAATGCCGAGTCTCCTGGCAGTAGTCTGACTGATCATATTACCTGTAGCTCCACTGTCGAGGGTAAGACATATGACATTATGACCATAAAATGCGTTCATATATGGAGACTGACGTACACTGACTCTATTGACTGAAGCATTGTTTACACTTGAGGCAGTAACGGGAGGTGTAGATACTGTGTCTGTATGAGGGGACTGTCCATCTTCATCCTCTGACTCATCCAGGATGCTAGCTATTTGACGTGCCTTAGCCATGTATTTTCTGTCTTGATCAGGTAAGTATGAACATTCACTGAGAAAGTGATTGTCATTAGGACGACCAGCTGTGTGACAGAGGGGACACATTTTTGAGGTTGACTGGTAACGACGTTTATTGGATGTCTGCTGTATGCGAGGTCTAAAATTAGATCTTTGACTGAAGTTGTTTGCTCTAGTGGTAGCAGTCCTCATGACCTTGGCATCCTCAGATGAATGTATTTCATCTAACAGGGAATTGAGTGCCTGTGATATCTCAGGTTTAATTGACGCTAGAGTACGGGATC